CAGAGTGGAGAGGTGAGCGCAGAGGTCACGCCCTGTTCTTTCCCAAGCCCCATTTGGGGTCAGAAGGGGCTGTTGCAGGTTTCGTGGTGCTGTTCCTGCGGGTCCACCCCAATGATGTTCGAGGTGTGGGGAATGGGGCAGAGGCCCCTGGGTGCTGGAAGCTGGTCCCCCTCCTTCCTCGTCTCCTGGCACTGCAGGTGGGGAGCAGGATGGTGATTGTCGCCGCGGGCTGCGTGCTGCTCCTGATGGGCATGTTTGGGAAGATTGGGGCTGTGTTTGCCACCATCCCAAGCCCTGTGATTGGAGGCATGTTCCTGATCATGTTTGGGCTTATCACCGCCGTGGGGATCTCCAATCTGCAGGTAAGGGGGGCGAGGCATCCTTAGAGAGGCAGCTGTGTTGCCTCTCTTGAGAGGAGCCATGGGAATGGGAGGGATGGTATGGGGCTGGAGCAGGAGAGGGGGAGAATCTTAGGTCCCGGAAACCACATCGGCTCCCAAACAGAAGAAAGAAATAGCCAGAAGCATCCAAACTTCAAAAACAGTGACTGCATGGATGCCACCAGCAGTAAAGGTGCTGATGGCCCCATGCCCACCCCCGGGGCCTTTCTCCTGCAGTACGTGGACATGAACTCATCCAGGAACCTCTTTGTCTTTGGCTTCTCCGTGTACTGTGGGCTCGCCGTTCCCAGCTGGGTGAACAAGAACCCCAAGATGCTCCAGACAGGTGATTGTTCTCTGCCCTCCAGACTGGTACTATACCAGGGGCAGAGCCAGTGGGGCCCCTGGTCCTTTCAAGCTTGTCACTTTTGTCTCCACTCTAGGGATTCTCCAGCTGGACCAGGTCATCCAGGTGCTGCTCACCACCGGCATGTTTGTTGGTGGATTTCTGGGCTTTCTCCTGGACAACACCATCCCAGGTAGGGCTCGCCTCACCCCGCGAGGTGGCATTGTGGGCAGACAGCATCTGGGCCACCTGGAGAGCTCCTGGGCCCCGATGGCTGTGTTGGGCCCTGGGTCTGGGTGGAGTGTTAGGCCTATGTTAGTTTTCTAGGGCTGCCATAACAAAGCACCACAGACTGGGTGGCTTAAACAACAGACGTTTATCTTTCACAGTTCTGCAGACTGGAAGTCCAAGATGAAGGTGTGGGCAGGGCTGGTTTCTCCTGAGGCCTTTCTCCTTGGCTTACAGACGGCCGCATTCACAGTGTGTCCTCACTGGGTCTTTCCTCTGTGTGCAGTACACACATCCCTGATACCTCTCAATGTGTCCCAACCTACTGTTCTTATAGAAACACCAGTCAAACTGGATTTGGGGCCCCTATTTCTCATTGTAACTTAATCACCGCTTTAAAGGCCCTAGCTCCAAATACAGTCACATTCTGAGTTACTGGGGGTTAGGGCTTCACCCGGAATTTTGGGTGCAGGAGGAGACACAATTCAGCCCATAACAGGACCCCAAAGTGGGAAATACACCAGAAGCAAAAGAAAAAAGACTCAGTCCTGGCTCTCTTACAGCCTACAGTCTAATTGGAAAGGGAGACCACACAAATATTTATTCATTCGTTCACATTTCGTTTAAAAAACAACCATTGAGACTAGTTTTCTATGTACTAGGCGCTATGTACTGAGACTACAAAGAAAAGTAAGACATGCCCCAGCCTTCTAGAAATCCATGGGCTAATGCGGGAGAGAGGCAAGATGACAGACACTTACAATACAGGGCAGTGAGTGCTGTGAGGAGTAATGACTCTGTGAGTGCTGAGGAGGCTGGAGGCGAGGAGCATAGAGGCTCCACTCACAGATGGCTTCTTGGAAGAGCCATCTAAGGCCATCTTCTCTTCTCTTCTGGGTCCTTCCACAGCCCTCGTAAGGCCCTCTATGCTAGCACCTGCTCCATGGTATTCTGTTTTCCCCATTGCTTCTGTCTACCAAATGTAAAATGCATTTGCATTCCAGAAGCATTAAATGTGCACAGGCCTGCTCCCTGGAGTTGAGGAAAGCTCTGTGGTTCCCACTTGGTTGTACCCCTGTGCTTGGCATGGTGTCAGCCCCACAGTAGGAGCTCAGAGAATGCCCGGTGAACTGAGCTGAGCTGAGCTGTGATTCTTGAGATGGATTTGGAGGCTGAGAAGGAGGAGGGAAGGAGGAGGGAGAGGAGGAGGGAGAGGGGGACGGGGCCAGGAGATGCTCTCCACCTCCCTGGTATCTCCCTGGAGCTGCAGGTGGGGAGCAGGATGGTGACTGTCCCCGCAGGCTGCCTGCTGCTGCTGATGGGCGCATTTGGGAAGATCGGGAGGAGGGGAGGGAGGAGGAGGAGGGTTGGGGGGAGGAGGGCGCAGTGCAGGGGCTCTGAGAGGAGGCCTCATGGGTGCCTGCAGGGGGCGCCAGAGGCCTGCTCCAGTCCCCTCCACGCCATCAGGGTCCAGTCTTGACTTCTTCATTTCCCCCATCAGGCAGTAAGGAGGAGCGAGGCCTTGTGGTGTGGAATCAAATGCAGGAGGCGTCTGAGGAGACCCTGAAGGCCTCGGAGGTCTACGCTCTCCCCTGGGGGGTTGGCACCAAGTTCTGCACGTCCCCCTTCTTCCAGCGCCTCCCGTTCTGGCCCCGGCGGGGACCCGTGGGGACGGCGGCGGAGGCGGACCAGAGCCGGCTCACCCTCTGCTCCCAGGACGCCTCAGAGACCAGGATGTGAGCACCGCCCCTCTCCACACACCCTCCCGCCACCCGGAACGGGCGGATCCCCGCGCCTCCCCCACCTGCACTGGTGGCAGCCGAAGAAGTGCAAGATCGTGGCCAGCGTGCTCCCACCTGGCCGCTTGGTCACCGCGTCCGGCCTCAGGCGTGGCAAGAGTGTCGCGGTGTCCACACTTTCCCTGCTTTCACACGCGCTCTTGGCAGTATTTGATGTGTTGGGAGGAAGAGGCCTGCGCTAGGGCAGGGCTGGAGATGGGGCTGTTTGCTGAGAAGGGACAGAATGGTTCTCTTCTTCTCCGAGGGGGCAGGGGGCCTGTGGCCTCGCTGTCCCCTCCCTCTCTGGGCCCGTCCCCAAAGCCGGGCGGGAGCGCCCCCTCTTCCTGCACCTCCTCTGGGTTCCCGGCGCTCCAACCCCCTCCAGGCCAGGGAGGGCCGGGAGCCAAAGCCCAGGTGTGGCAGGGCTGGACTTAGCCTGCTCAGACCCCTGACTGTCTACCAGAGTGGACTGCAGGCTGCTGGGCAGCTGAGCTGGATCTGCTACCTTGGGCTTCTCCAGAAATTTCCACTGTTTCCCTAGGGGACTCAGTCTTATGACTTGGCCTTTTGATGGGCACTGGGTCCTACTAGCAAGAAAAAGACATCCATGCCCTCTCTCAACACCTCCTTCCCCATTAAGAACGCTATGCCTCCTTGGCCAAACCCCTCCTCCTGGAGAAGGAAGGGGAGACATTTTGCTGGGGTGCAGAGAAGGGGAACATCTGACATTGTTCCAGAGGCTGTTTCCAGCATGGGCTCTCCTGCCCACCACCCCCACCATTCACCCATCTCTGCTTGACATTGGGTGGGTGGAGTTGGCTCCTGTAACCTACTTTACAAGGCTTGGTGATTTCCTGGGCAGGAAGGGTGTGTGTTCTTGTGTGTTAGAAGTCGGGGTGGTGTGGGGGGTCCACTAAGTACAGTTCTGTCACTAATGTGGGTAGAAAAGCCACACCTCCCTGCTCTGAGTGCAGACACCATAGAGACAGGTGTGTGTGGGAAGGCAGGGGTGAGAAGATTGGAGACCTGGTAGTCTCAGCCTTGTTTCCTTCCCTCCCCGAGCTCCTGCATTAAAACCTTCCAATAGCCTTTCATGCCACAGGTTTCTTTCAATATCCAAGTGACCCTGGAAGTGGGAGAGGTCACCAGGTGGGCAGGAGGGGCCTGAGGCCTGGCTTTGGGATATAGAGACAGGAATACTTCTCCAGGTGGAAAAATCAAACTGATGGGATTTCTTAAGGGAGAAGCCCTGAGACTGAGCCAGAGGTGGGAATGCAAGTGAGATCCGTTAGACCCCGGATTCCCTCCAGGTATTCTGTGTGGTGGAAACACAAGCCCAAGGGGAAAAGATTGGCAGGGAAGAAGGAGATGGCCTTCAGTGCATGCAGTTACAAACTCGCACAAGTGGGGATGTTTAATTCCAACTATCTTTATCGGGTGATGGGTTCAGAGTGGCCAGTCTTGAAGACCATTCCTGGGGTGTATTGAACCAATGCCCTGACACCTCCAAAGCTGCCGGTGAGGCACCTCAGGGAGAAGAACAGACTCTACCCCACTCCTGGGACAATTCCAGTTGCTGTCCCTCAAAATACAGTGGCTCCAAGGAGGAAGGAGGATTGCCATTTAACAAGTGGAATGTCGGTCTTGAAGGGGGTGAGGAGGTGAAGTGGGGGGTGGAGTGTGAATTCTGTCATATAATGGACCATGGTGATCGTGATACTCCTGAGAACAGCCTTGAATGATGCACTGAGATGGAATCTGCTCAGCCAGTCCTGGAGTACTACGGGAGTAGTGGTACCCTGCGTGCTTGAGGAACATAACAGATAATATCCCAAGAGATGATCCAGGATGAAAATACCTGTAAAAGCTTCTGACTCATAGAAGAATGCTAAAGGGAAGCAAAGATCTTGCAGGTCCAGCCCTGACCTTGTACACCTGGCGTACAGCCTTCCACGGTGACTGCAAAGGCAAAAGAAAAAGACAGCCTTCCCCACTGGCTCTACCAAAACCTCCCACGGAGGATGTGGTAGCTCAGGGTATCCCATGTGAAGAAGTTTTTTAAGTTAATCTAGAATAAGCTCCCCATCTCCAGATCTTTAACTTAGTTATATCTGTGCAGTCCCTTTGCCATATAAGGTGATATTCACAGGTTTTGATGATTAGGATATGGATATCTTTGGGAAACATTATTCAACCTACTACAGTCCTTGGTTAAAAATTCTATACAGTAGTCCCCCTTTATCCTCGGTTTCTCCTTCCCTGCTTTCAGTTACCTGCAGTCAACTGAGGTCTGAAAACATTAAATGAAAAATGCCAAAAATAAACAATTCATAAGTTTTAAATTGCATGTTGTTCTGAGTAGCCTGATGAAATCTTGCTCCATCCTGCCTGGGACCCGACTCGTCCTTGGTGTAGTGAACGCATGCTGTAGATGAAACTTGCCTGGCAGTCATTAGTAGCCTTCCTGGTGATCAGACCAGTTGTGGTATCTCAGTGCCTGTGCTCAAGTAACCCTTATTTTACTTAAAATATTATAATGCATTAATATAATTGTTCTATCTTATTATTATTAATCTCTTACTGTGCCTAATTTATAAATTAAACTTTATCTTTAGGTCTGCATGTGTAGGAAAAAACATAGTATATATAGGGTTCGGTACTCTCCTTGATCTTCAGGCATCCACTGGGGGTCTTGGAACACATTCCCTGCAGATAGGGGGATCTACTGTATTGGTTACAGTCTTGGTCTGTTTGGGCTGCTATAGCAAAATGCACTAAACTGAGTGACTTGTAAACAACGTGAATTTATTTCTCACAGTTCTGGAGGCTGGGAAGTCTTACGATCAAGGCACTGGCCAATTGGTGTCTGGTGAGGGTCTACTTCCTCATAGATGGCCAACTTCTCACTGTAACCTCACATAACACAAGGAGAAAAGGATCTCTCCGGGGCCTCCTTTATAAGGGCACTAATTCTATTCATGAGGACCCTGCCCATGACCTAATAACCTCCCAAAGACCCCACCTCCTAATACCATCATCTTAGAGGTTAGGATTTTAAAATATGAATTTTGGGTAGACACATTCAGATCACAGCATTTACTTTATAGTATGGCAGCTGTTCCTTAAGAAAACCAGCCATAGGCTGGGCTCAGTGGCTCATGCCTGTCATTCCTAGCAGTTTGGGAGGCCAAAGTGGGAGGATCGCTTGAGTCCAGGAGTTTGAGACCAGCCTGGGCAACATAGCAAGACCCTATCTCTACAAAAAATTTTTAAAAAGAAAGAAAACAAGCCTGAAGATCTTCTATACTTTGGAAAATTGATGTGCCTTTAAAGTCCACTTTATTGACTATAAATTTTCTCCCCATGAAGCTGAGACTGTTCCCAATCATAGTAGGGTTTCCTGGTTACGTGTTGGCTTCCACACTTCTCAATACACTGCCCAGAGTCTACACTATCCTTGCTTTCACAGAACATACCTTCCTTGCATCTACCCTTAGTTGGTGAAAAGTCATGTATTTTTTTCCACCATTTGCTGATGAAGTTTCTAAGTCAATTCTGCTCTTTTGAAAAAGTCTTTCATTCCTAATATAAGTACTTTGTGTTGATTTTATGATGTGTCCAATCTGTTCTTAGAAGGTAGTTTGCAGTATTAGCCCACAAAAAATATTGACAATTATTTTTACATTATCTGTGATGAGCTATTCCTCTAAACATTTTTATTTTCACTGTATAGTTAGATAATATACATGTGTGAAATGTAACCCTTGCAAAACTCTACCAGAAGCTGATTAACAAACAAAAATTAATACTTTAGGATAGTGAGGAATGGGGAAGAACTTTAATTCCAGATCCTACTGGACCTTTCTACTCTGCTTTTGCTTTGAACCTCACACCATCGGATTTTCTACCTATGCACCTTTTTGTTGTTGGCATCTACAGACCGTCCTTCCCTGAGGATGTTACTGTCCTTCTCTCCAACAATCCTGTCTTAGCAATTGGTGACTTCATAGCCCTAGAACTATGGCTCCCACATCCTGCGCTCCCAGTTCCTTGAGCTCCACGGTAATTGGTACTTTGCTTATCTCAGTTCCTCATTCTGTGGCCTTATCTCTGTTTAGGCTTTGGGATTACCAATAGCTGCGTCTCCTACCATCCTCAATTTCAAGCAATTCTCTGACCACCACCTCCTATTTTTCCAGCTCACTACTTCTAGTCTCCCAAGTCCAATAACCTTTTAACCTTCCAGGATCTGAATCTACTGTCCTCCCACCTCCCTCTTGTCCTCTCTTCCCTCCTTAGCCAGCCTCCATTCTACGGTCAGTCACACTGATCACCTTCTTGCATTCTTAATGCCTCGGTCTGCTCTCTCTTCATCACATTCTCTTGGCAAAACCTGAACATGGTTGAGAATCAATTCTTCACTTACTCTGTGCCTGCACCTGTGTGGCTGAACATCGCTGGAGAAACCACACAACTGAGCTGACTGGTTTTAGATTCATGACCATGGACTTCATGCGGGTGGGCCCTCAGTGCCGCCTGGCGGGCAGGCCACCTTTCCCAAGCCCACTGCACACTCTCTTCTGTCTTCTAAAACCCCTTCCACCTCCATCCTGATCCTGATTCTCAGCTTCTTATTTCACTGAGAGATCTGTAGAGAAGCAATCAGGAGAGGACTTGTACCAACAGCTGCACCTCTCCACTTCCAACTTCTGTGCCTGTCCTCAGCTTTCCCTCCTGTTAGGGGAATGAGCTCCTGGTGCCTCCCTAAAGCTGGCTCCTCCGTGTGCTCCAGAGGCTGCTCCCTGAATTCTGCTCAAGGATTTCAATGCAGGTCTCCGCTCTCGCATCATCAAATTTTCTCTTTCTTTTAATAATTTATGCCAGCATATACACCTGCTGTTATTTCTATTGTCTTAGAAAAAAAGCCTGATCTTTGGGAGTGTGTGGCAGGGTGACTTAAAGTAGTAGGGTCCGGCCTGTGTAAAATGCCGTTATAAATATGCTGCAGACCTGGGACCTGGCCTCAGCTGCTCTAGAAGAGCCGATGAATCACACCAGTCAAGAGCAGGCCCGTCCTCCCTCCCGCCCCTTCTCTGCCCCAGCAGCTTGTCAAATCCTGTCCAATTCTGCCCTTTATTTCTTTTCGTTTGGTTGACACCTCTAGCACTTCAGAACGCTCCCTGTGTTCTCCCCAAACAGCTGCCAGCTAGCCAGGCTCAGTTTTCTCAGTGTGTTTTCCTGTGCTTTATTCCCATAATGTGCTGTCACCAGGGAGCCACAGAAGGATGAACAGCAGCAGAGGACCTCTGGGTGCCTGTCCTGGATAAGCCTCTCCGGCTTCCCTGAGCTGCCCTTTTCTGTAAGAACTCGTGGTTTCAGAGCTTCAGGGACAAGGCAGTTTTGTGAGAAGCTTACGTAGAAGGGACAGATTTCTGACATTTGCATAAAAGCACAAAGGCTTGTTTTGTTCAGAGTCAATGTTGGAGAAGTGCCCCTTCCCCTCCAGTAGCTGGTGGACAAGAGCTAATTGACGAGACAGGCATGGGGTAATTGGCTTGATTTAATCAGCATGATGTGGAACTGAGTTACCCAAACCAGAGTCAGGCTCAGCCCAGGCACCACCCCGCCCACACAATCACACAATCTGCGCTCATCAAGCTTCCCTCCTCCAGTCCATTCTTGTCTCTTCTGCCTCCGCCTCAACCTCCGTGGTCCCCGCATCCCTGCCGTGGCCTAGAGATGGTGCGTGTGGCCCACACTGTGCAAGACTGGCTTCATGTTTCCACGTCCTGATTCTAAAGAATTAGGCAGACTGGAGCTCTCTGTGTCTTTCTCCTTCAAACAACAGAGATGCCCCCCATTCGCTAACTTATTGGGGGGAAAAAAGATAGTTGGAGGTGAGAGGATCTGTGGTTCTTTTCTGTTAATTGGTTTTGGGCTTCAGCCCAATTTGTTATTTCTTCATCTGCTAAATGGAGGTAATGCTGGCTGCCCGGCCTCCCTGGGGAGCTGCTATAACAACAACGTAAAAGTCCCCAAGGGGTATGTATCAAGTTGGCCAAGCTATAGTGGCAGTTATCTCCTCAAACACTTATTTGTGGGGGCGCTGTGAAGGCATTTTTATAGATGTGGTTAACATCTGCCATCCCTTGACTTCAAATTAAGGAGGTTGCCCTAGATAGCCTGGGTGGGACTCACTCAACTAGCTGAAGGCCGTAAGAGCGAACTGAGGTTTCCGGGAGGAGAAATTCTGCCTCGAGACTGCAGCATCAACTCCTGCTTGGTTTTCCAGCCTGCCCACCTGTCCTACAAATTTCAGACTTGCAGTCCTCACCATTGTGTGAACCAATTCCTTCACATAAATCTCGATGTCTCTGTCTCTATCCTATTGTGCTGTGTCTCTGCAGAACCCTGCCTGATACAGCACTGCCTGAGAGCGGAAGACATTGGTCAAGATATGGGAGGCTACCCGCCTGGTATGGGAGCTCTGCGGGGAGCAGGGGAATGAGAACCTGTGAGGGTAGTTTATGTAATAAATCTACCCCAGGCCGTGCCTATATCCAGCAAGGCCCGCTGGAGTGGGGGAGGGAAGCAGAAGGCTGTTGAGGCTGAGGCCTGGAGGTGGGGACATCACCCCAACACAAGGCTGTGAGGAGCAGGGACACCTCTGCATCCTGCTGAAGTCCACTCTGACCTGGGGCCCCTGGCACATGCCACACCAGGAACAAAGTCGCAGCCTTGGACTAAACAGCATCACGGTGGGGCTTGGCACAAAGAGGGGCTGGCTAGAGCTGGCTCACATTGTTTGAGGGCCTACTATGCTCAGGCCCGTCTGTAAAGCCTCATTTCTTCTCTCCCACTCAGCTGGGTTTATGGCTGACCTGAGGCCCGGGGTTCCTCTTTCCTTTCTTTCTAACACGAGTTTAGGCTACTCCTGCCTGCGCTGCCTGCCCAGCTGCCTGGAGAGCCTCCACCTGCCCCCTGGGTTTGGGCATATGTAAGCTGTGAAGTGCTGGGCAAAGCTCCAATCCCCAGGTATTCCCAGGGGGAGTCCCCGAGGGTCATCTGGTGCATCACAGGACAGCACGGTAAGAGCTGGGGCTTTGGATCAGACAGGACCGGGTTTGGATCCTAAAACGTAACCTGCATGTCAGGGGAGAGGCTGTTATTATGACTTGTACACTGTACAGGGCCAGGCAAACCCATTCCCTCTGCACACCAGTGTATTGGGGGTTCTCTAGAGAAACAGAGCCAATGGGTGTGTGTGTGTGTGTGTGTCTGTGTGTGTCTGTGTGTCTGTGTGTGTGTGGATACAGAAAGATAAGGAGGTATTTAAGGAATGGGCCCCCGTGATCGTGGAAGTGCAAGTCTGAAATCCGCAGGGTGGGCCAGCCGGCTGGCAAGAGCTACAGTTTGAGTCAGAGGCTGTCTGCTGGCAGAATTCCCTCTTCTTCCAGGGAGGTCAGACTTTTTCTCTTAAGGCCTTCAACTGATTGGAAGCATTATAGAGTGTCAGCTGCTGTACCCAAGGTCCACCGATTTAAATGTTAATCTCATCTAAAAATACCTTCACAGGAACGTCTAGAATAATGTTTGACCATATTTCTGGGTGCCGTGGCCAAGCCAAATTGATACATAGGACTCAGCCCCATGCTTGCCAGCATGCTGGCCCAGGGATGCTTATGCACCCTTTGCCCAGAAGCCTCACCAGAAATGCTTGGAACTTTGGGATCTCACTGCAGCTCCCGGGCAGGTGTCTCTATTACCAGGAACAGCAGATGTATCTGGTTCCACCCAGCTGTCCTATAGCATAGAGTGGAGGTCAGCACTCTCTTGGGCTCCTAGAGCAGGCAGCTCTAGAACTTTGTAGAACCCACCAGGGCAATGGCCCTGTGCCCTGGACATGCTGAAAGTACCTGGTGTTATGCCACCTCCAGGAACAGATCCTGCCTGTCCTCCTCCTGAAAGGCCTGTGACCTGGGCTTCCACTCACCTGGTACACCCACAGTAGGAGCACAGTGGATGCATGCCCTGGAGCAGGCCAGTCCCTTATACCAAACACCCCGAAAGACTGACACGGGGCCACATTTCTCTTATGCTTTATAATAATCAGAAACTAAAACCATCACAATGCTTCTGGGACAGCCCACTCCAAACAGTCCCAGAGGCCATGGCAGGTAAAACCTAAGCTACTAACATTCAAACTTGGGAACTGCCCACCCTCACTCATCTCTTCCCCTCTCAGCCTTTCTGCATTATAAATCTTCATCATCAAAGGTCTCCATGCACCTCAACATGAGCATCTCATCGTCAATGGGAAGGGCTGGTTCCTGCAAAACACAGGGGGAAGAGGTTTCCTTTTACCCAAGGGCTTTGGGCCCCAGGCAGATAGGAAAGCCCCCAAACCTGGGTCTACCCGCCTGCCCCAGTCTCTACCCCACATCTCTTCAGCTGCACTTTCATCTCCAGCTTCAGCTGGGAAGTAAGGACACAGGAAGGTCCCATTTCCATTTCACTCAACACTCTGTGACCTCTAGAAATGATATAGTAGAACTAGCTTCTTTCCTATCCCAGGAATTTCCAGGATCTCATGAGAAAGACAGGGAAATCTTAAAGCTTTATCCAAGTGCCCAATAGAAGACGGTAAATCACATCATGGTGCACCCACCAATGGAACACCATGCAGCCGTCTTTTCAATAAAAGGAGATAGCTCTCTATCTGTGGGATATATTTTTTAAAAAGTGCAAAGTGCAAAGCAATGTGTCTAGTAGGCTACTATTTGTATTTGAAAAAATATGTAAATATCTGTAGATGAGTGTATATGGCAGTTGCCTCTGCGGGAGGGTACCAGGTAGTACGCCAGGGACACTGGTAAGAGAGAGACTAAGTTTCCATTGTATATCTTTTGATAAGTTTTGAATTTTATGCCATATATATGGGGTACCTATTAGGAGATAATTTTTTAAGAAGTAGCACTATGTTTGCTTAGCAAGGGTTTCTCATTCTATTTAAAATGACCCCAGCCAACCTCTTAGGAGTCTCCATTACCTCTCCCCCTAAAAGTATGTTCCTGTGTTTTTGCTCTTCTTGCCTGTCCCCACCCCAGCAGAAAATGACCCCTGTAATCTGTTATCCCTGCAGATCAGGGTTGATCCCAGTGGGCCCCAGGCAGCATCCCTAACCCCAGTCAACCATCTAATGAATGTGGGACCTGGTCCCAACAGTGACGTCTGGTGGGGCGATGACCTCTGCAAACCGGGCCTTGCATGCTTCACCATGCTCTCCCGATGGGGCGGGGAAAGAGAGAGAGAGTGTCAGGTCACATGGTATCCAGGACAATCACATGGGCCCCTTGTTCTGAGAGAAGACAATGGTGAAGGTAGAGACAAGAATGAAATTTCCTGTACACTGGTAGAATCTGGGGGTGGGAATGAAATTTCCCTCTTTACAACGGAATCTGTCAAAGCCCAAGGCCTCCTGCCCCGGAGCCACTTGGACAGCTTGTTCAAAATACAGATTCCTGGGCCCCGCTCTCACGGCACTCAATGGGAATCTTGAGGCACCAGGAACCTGGATTTCCAATAGGCCACAAGGTGGTTCTTGGGGGCCTTGCTCTGTACAGACACTCTAATCTTTGCTTCTTCTCTCTTTTCTGCCATATGTGGAGAAAGGAAGGAGGGAAAGCAGACTATCCTTTTAATCTTCTCGAAGTCTTGGAAAAGTAGACTAATTTAACAGTGTCCAATAGAAACTGGGGACAGCTGCTCTAAGGAATGGTTGCCCAGAGATTGGTGGGAGGGGGTGACAAGCTGCAGGGAAGGGATCTTCTCTTCAAGGGGGGGATTCAAAGTGGCCCTGGCAGGGGGAAATGAAGAATTAGTGAGAAAAGGGTCAAGTTATGCCTCGGCCTACTGAACAGGTGTCCTAATTATTTTTAGACAAACATTTGCTATTATTATAGCTTGCCTTTTAAAATAAACAGTTGTGTATTTTGCTATATTAGTAGAGAAAATCCATGGCTACAAAAGGGTCTGAAAGGGCCTGTTTCCTTGGCGGCTCAGGCATAAGCCCCCGCCGTCCCATGAAAGCTTCCAGGAATGGACCCCCTGACCAAGACCCCCACTACTCATGTCATCATAAATGGCACAGTCAGCTTTTTGGAAGAAGAAATTAATATCCTTCAAAAGCTGACAGTAAATATTACCCTGGGGTCTCAGAAGATGATGGAACAGCCCAGCCTTTTGGAAAGATGTCATCATTGGTTCACGCAACATTTACAAATGTCTGCTAAGAGCAGGGCCCCTGGGGTCAGGTCCCAGCTTCAAAGGGCTCCCAGTCCAGGTCTGCCCTGGAGGGCATCCCTTTGTCTCTTTCCTCAGTTTCCCCAGACGTCTTCTATTCTACAGGATGCATCAGGCTGCAGTTGACCATCCATGGAGTAGACCAGAGAGAATGAAAGGATGTCTCTGTCCAGTGGCCCCTCATGGTGTGATTGGGGTGAGGTCCCGCAAGGGCCCCCTCAAGAGCCCTTTTTGCCATCCTAAGGGAGGTGGGCAGAGGTCTCACCGCACTCTGCTCTGTCCTACCTGTTTTAACTGGGCATTAACACAGCAAAGTCCTTTAAAAAAATTGATGATCTGCATGTAGAGCTGAAAGTTTTCCTCTGGATTTTCTGCGTTGCAGCTGGCAAACATTGAACTGACAACAGAAAGAAGGAAGAAATAGCAAGTATTCAGGATCTTAATCTTTCACCTCTGCTTCCCTTCCCCCCTGAAATATCTGGATTACAGTGTGAACTAAGCATTTTAAAATTCTCGAACAGCCCAGACCTCTTCTTGAAAGATTTGCATTGCCTCTGCTCAAATGTCATGTTTGGACTCTCTGGAAAAATCGAGATTATGGTGAGACTGGCTCTTGTTCCCTAATTTAGTATTCTGAGCTGTGACCTCTGGAAAAAGGGAGCAAGATTTCCTCTACCCCTCGGAGTCAACCTCCTACAGCGACCCCCTACGGTTCTGGTTCCACTGCGGCTGCTGAGGCCACTCAGGACAGACATTGTACATTTTGAGTTCAATCCCCTAAGATGCCCCTGCTCAGTGACCCTAACATGGAACTCAGGCCCTAGTGCAGAAAGGAGGCCTGTTTTCTTCCTGGAACAAGGGGAGATCCCCGTGTGACAGGGGCCTGAGGGCGCAGCGGCTGTGAGCTGTTTAGGACAGCCAGCGTTTTGACCTCACGTGCTCCTGGGAAGAGGTCCCACAGTCAGCTTAGGACCCCTCTGGCAGCAACCCCTGCCTTTTCTAGGGGAAGGAGAAAAAACCATTTTTAATAGGTTGGTTTTTTGCTCTATGAGCAGGGTAGGGAGTTCTAAATGCTGGTTGGCAAGTACACTTTGGCAGCTTCTCGACAAAGTTGTCTTTGCAGCCCAAGCCTAGCACAGAAATAGGAATGTCTGCTTCCAGCCAGTTTCAGCAAAATGAAACTGCACACAGTTTTGGAGAGGATGAAGCTATCCCATCTTTTCCCGAAGTCTGTCTAGGCCTGGGTGGAGCAGGAGGAAAGAAGGAACAAATGCTGATGTCTGGTTTGCCTGA